GATACAAGTAGTATCATCAATAATTTATTATCATCATTACTATTATTGTGTATAGGATGTGGTACTCCAGACCAATTATATATCAATGCAACCATTTTGAGCTACTACAGTACATTTTTCAACAGTATAGCTACATATAGCTGTCAAGATGGCTACAGTTTAGTTGGAGATGCTATTAGGACATGCTTGAGTAGTGGAAAATGGAGTGGAAAGCCACCTTACTGTCAAATTGGTTAGAATTATTTTCAAACAACTTTATTTAATAATTTTATAGTCAATTGCAGCGAGCTAATGGTTGATTCAAATGAAGGGCTCTCTGTTTCTTATTCATCAAATAGATCTACTAAACCTTACAACAGTATAGCTATGTATAGCTGTAATAAAGATGGCTACAGTTTAGTTGGAGATGCTGTTAGGATATGCTTGAGTAGTGGCAACTGGAGTCAAAGTCCACCTTATTGTCAAATCGGTTAGAATGATTTATAAACAATACTTTTAATAATTTTATAGTCAATTGCAGTGAGCTAATGGTTGAGTCAAATGAAGGACTCTCTGTTTCTTATTCATCAAATACTAAACCTTACAACAGTATAGCTACATATAGCTGTGAAGATGGCTACAGTTTAGTTGGAAATGCTGTTAGGACATGCTTGAGTAGTGGAAATTGGAGTGGAAATCCACCTTACTGTCAAATTGGTTAGAATTATTTTCAAACAATACTTTATTTAATAACTTTATAGTCAATTGCAGTGAGCTAATGGTTGATTCAAATGAAGGGCTCTCTGTTTCTTATTCATCAAATACTAAACCTTACAACAGTACAGCTACATATAGCTGTGAAGATGGCTACAGTTTAGTTGGAGATGCTATTAGGACATGCTTGAGTAGTGGAAATTGGAGTGGAAATCCACCTTACTGTCAAATTGGTTAGAATTATTTTCAAACAATACTTTATTTAATAGCTTTATAGTCAATTGCAGTGAGCTAATGGTTGCGGATTCAAATGAAGGACTCTCTGTTTCTTATTCATCAAATACTTACAACAGTACAGCTCTATACAGTTGTAAAAATGGCTACAGTTTAGTTGGAGATGCTGCAGTTAGGACATGCTTGAGTAGTGGAAATTGGAGTGGGGACACACCATATTGTCAAATAATTGGTTAGATATTTTATGCTTAATTGTAAAATGCCATTGCCACAATTTCTTAACTAATCTACATATTCAACTGTGGGCAATATGTTTGCACTGACTTATTGGGACAGCCTACTCATTGCAGAATGCAGCAATGCACCAGTTCTATGAGATAAACAATGATAATTTGTATTATAATTAACTTCATTGCTTTACTTATTGCTTTATTTTTAAGTGAGATAATTTCTCTATAGTAATTTTCCCTTAGTTCTGTGCATGATATTACTGTTATTACATTTACTTAAATTCCTCCTTTTCATTAGTAACATCTTCAGATCAACTTGCAGTTATTGTAATACCAGTAGTGATAGTCACTGTAATATTAGGAGTGCTGGTAGTGCTTATAGTGATTCTTTTTTCTTACATAACAAAGAAGAGAAGAAAAATGAAACTAGTCACAAATGAGGCTAATAGAAGTATTGCCTTTAGTAAGTAAACCTAGTTCTAAAAATGTACATTATTAATCAATTAAAATACATGAAACTTACAAAAGCATGTGGACATATGTATATTTTGTAATAGATTGCAGCAATTATCAATTTAAAGAGATTTCGTCTGAATATATTGATCAGCTATCAAAGCATTCAATATCAGGGTCAAGCCTCAAGATACTGGAGACTGTCGGTCGAGGTGAGTATATGGATTGCATCAGTAATTGAAAAATTTATTTTCAAATTATTTATGCATGTAGGTGAGTTTGGTATAGTGTATCGTGGGCTAATATCAGTCAAAAATGACATACCACAAGCTGTTGCTGCAAAGACTTTAAGAA